GGAGGAAAATAAAAAAAAAACGTCGGAATGGAAAAAAACCACCCACCCACGGGTGGATTTCACCCCTCGCGGGCGAATTTCCACCCCCACCCACAGCCTGACAACGCCAGACGACGCTGACGAAGTTGACTCCGGTCTCAGGACTCTGGGAAGCCAGGACTTCAGGACTCCAGGACATTCAGGACTGCAGGACTCCTGGACTCAGCCAAGCAGCGAGAGCAACCATTAAAATTTCGAAAATCCATCATTGGAAAAATGGTCGAAAAAAAGCTGAGTAACAACAACAACGCACCACTTCCGTGGCCATGTTTTTTCACTCTCTTGTATTTGGATTTTTGTTTTTTTTTTGCCTTAATTGAGGGTGGCGAAAATGTCGATTTAATTTTTCAATATTCATAAATTTATGTGTGCGTTATTCCCTGTGTGTGTGTTCTGTTCAGTTCTCTCTTCCTTTTTTGCCGACGGCGTGTGAGTCCGGCTAAAAGTGATTTGATTTTCTAATTTGCAACGAATTTCGGTCTTCCAACAGTTCCCACCCACCCACATGTCTCGCCTTGGCCACCCACATCCCCGCCCCACCCCCTTTTTGGCAGGCAGGCAGGCAGGGCAGCCATGTAAACACAAATCCAATCAAATAAACGAAATTAAGTGCCACGTTGATTGGAGGCAAATCTGTTTTTCAGCCTCAATGATGACAATCAAGCGAAGTCCGCGCAGCCAAAGGGAAAAACTCAAAATCAAAATCCAAAACCTTGCGCAAAAAAAAAATAGAAGAAGAAAACTGATGAAGATTTTTCAGCAAACGCAGCGAAAAGCGAATATTATTTTTCAGCTGGAAATATGCCACACAAATTTGCATTAGGCACCTGTAATTTCCACATAGCCCACAGGACTCGCGGCAATTTCCCCTGGCTAAATCTTATCCCCAGTGGCAACCGGCGGGGGGATATTTTATATTTTGATTGTTATTTGTGGGGACAGTAAAAAAGCCAACAATGTGCGGTGCGTTTGGCTTGGCCAACTGTTGTGGCTTGGCCTTTCTCCCCCTCAAACCCCCTCCATCTACACCATAAATCCAACGCCCACAGGAGGCGGGACACTGGCTTTTATTACAAGTTTTCCGGGCAAGGTGGCCCACAGAGAGATAGAGGGAAAAGTGGGGGCTGGGCGAGTGGGGGAGATTGAAATGTGAAATATTTTTAAAAACCAATTTCGCTGAGCCTCGGCCCCAGCAACGCACGATGGGGATTGGAGCTGGGGTCCTCGAGTTGCCATAAAAGAAATTGTTTTTATGAATTTCATTGAAACGAGCCGAAAACAAAGACCACCGCCGCCAGTTGAAGTCCAAGTTAAAGAGAGATTCCTTGGAAGCACAATGAAATACAAGAAATAAGTTCACAAATAATTGTTACACAACGAAAAATATCGCTTTGTGAAACTGCACACCCAATATAAATAAATTAAATTCCAAGAAATCTTTCGTGGAACTCTAAAGAATATTTTATTTCATATCGGTTAATAAAAATAAAACTGCTTGCAGCGTTTATCAATATTTTAAGAACTTTTTGTCAACGAGGAAACTTTATCCGCATATTATAATTATCTACATGACAAAAAAACATGTTTAAGATCCTAGAACTTGTTAAAGGTCCAAAAAATTACCGTTTATGAAATCCAAGACCCTGAGGCTTAAAAACAATTGTATTTTGCTTATTAAAATTCAGAATTTCTTAAAAGTCTTTTCTGCAACCCCAATTAATCAAAAGTCATTAGAAGAAAGCGATAAAATAATCAAGAGCGATTCAAGGGCCTTGTTTACTGGTGTAATCCGCGCTGTCATAACTTCACCTCATAATTAGGAGAGCCAGCGGAAATTGGCAGACTTTTAACCCTCGACCTCGAAAAGAAAGAAAGGAGATTGGCACACAAAGCGAAAGGTGAAAGTGAAATGGCAAACACGGCAAACAACAAAGGGAATTAGCAAACATGACAATGATAATGCCAGTGACAAAAGGAAAGTGCGACCCCTGAAAATCGATTCGATTTTGCGACTTAATTGCTTTGACATTTGACTCTGCCAATTTGGCAAATCTCTTGCAAATCGATCAGGGGTAGATCGCCGGAGGGGTGGGGATTACAGGATATATAGGGGTTTATTGATTTTGGCAAATTGTTTGGGCGTCAACTGATTGACTTGTGGGGACTGTAAAACCTGTTGATGATAGTGGAAGAACTCTAGTTTGGTCCAAAGCACAAAAAGTTCCGAAAAGCAGCTGCCAGGAAGAGGATTCCTGTCTGGCAGAAGTGTAATTTTCGGCCTGGGAGTTTCTCACGGGCCTTTTCACTTGCATTATGCATGAGATTGGCTGGAGATTTCTGGAGAGGCTGAAAAAAGTGCCCACCCCTCGATCCTGCATCCTTTGAACGTGCCTGTCGCCTCTTTTGTGTCCTCTTCGCCGGGCTGCGTGACAGGAAGCAAATGTCCTGTTGTGTCACTCATATGCAAATTGCCAGGCATCCGTGTTTTTCTTTTTATTATTTTCTTTTTTCTCTTCGCCTTTTACTTCTTCCATCTGCGTCTTATTAATTAGAATAATAATTAATAAGGCAACTCCTCGACGGAGGCGCACGTGCAAAGTCGCTCAACCCTTCGGGGCGATGGCATAAATTAGTTGCCTCATTGCCAGGACCTTTCAAGGATACCTGCCCCGCAAGCCAAACCAATTAAATTACGAGCAAGCGGCCAAATGATGCGTACTTAAACACGTCGACGTGATGTGGAAATGTAACCAAATATGATTTTCCTGCCGACGAAGGGTTAATGGAAAACACGATTCGAATTTGCATATAATTTCTATTTAATTTAGGAGACTTTCACCCCAGCTGCCGGCCTGCCCAGCATCCCTCTCACATTTTCTTCCTCTGGCGGCCAATTAATAGCTAACATTTTTACTTTGACTACACAATTTTTTCGTTTTCCACCAAAAAAAAATAATAAAAAACGCTGCCGACGTGAAGTGAAAAAAAGAAAACCTTTCAATGTGCACACTTCCTGGACAGACAACCGCAACAACACCAAAAAAAGGACGCATCCTGTTTCAGCTGCTGTGTATGCAAATTTTTTGGTTCTAACCTTTTTTTCGTGTGTTTTTTTTTCCGGGTTGTTGCTGGCTGTGATGGAAAGTGAAGCGTTTTGTTGTCCCGACAATATGTAACTGACACTTGAAGGGGTGTTAGAGCAGCATCTCGATGTTTTTGCCCCGATAAAAACAACATTCAGTCGACGGGAAGCAATCTCTAATGTAAAAACTCCATTAGCAGTTCCTGTTTCTCATTCTTTGACCGCCTTTCCGCCGAAAAGTTGTCGCCTGTTTGATGATTCTGTGCAATGTAAGCCTGATTTATGATGTTCCAGCGAAAAAACCCACGAAATTCACTTTCAGGCCGCAATAATATACACTACAAGCTCTTCAAAATATAGCCAAACATTTTCCCAAAAAAATAAAGTAAAGTAAATACAAAAAATTTTGGAAAAAGAAAGGAAAGAAATCATCAGCACGTGGCTGAGCCAAATTGATATGCGCCATTAGGGTGGCTGAGAAAGTGATTAGGGTGGGGCTTAGGAAAAAATAGAGGATGGAAGGGGGAGCCCTAGACTAGAGCTCACTTTTTGTGGATTTTCTTGAGCAGCGGACACGTGTGTGTGAGTTGGCCAGAGTTCTACAAAGTCGAAGAAAATTATGAAAAAATGTGAGTCAGTTTTTGATATTTTATAATGGAAATTGCAATGACTGTTTAATAAGCTTATTTGAAGTCTTTCTGTTATTAGAATTGAAATAATTTAGAAATATTTGAATAGTTCATCATTTATTAGCAGGTTTTTTAATCACTTTACAATTGATATTGAACCGTTATCGTATTAAATGAATATTATTAATTTAAATCTGAAAAAGATCAAAATTTAAATTTCGTTTGTTGTTTAAAGTAAAGGATTTTTTTGCACTAGGATCCAAAAAACACATTGGAATCATATCAAGTAGGATTTAGTTTATCGACTCTTTACCTGTAAATTTAAAAAATATTTTGTTAATATAAACAAATAAACGTTGGACAATTTAAAGAGTATTTATAAAATTAAGTTTCGTTTATGACTTTATAAGTTGGGTATTAGAAAAGAGAATATTTCTTGAGCTGCGAAAACCCAATTTTAAAACTGATTTTAAGTTTTTAGTATATTTTCAGAGGCAAAGTAATTGTAGACTAATATGTTTTATAACTAATAACTTAGTTAATAACCTTAAGATACTCTCTGTTTGATTCCTGATTTTTATAAAACCCTGAAAAATAATTTTTCATCAGCAAGAAAACAGTCGAACGAATATGGCAACTCATGCGGACTTTCTTGAGGGGTTTTCACTTGGGGATGAGGAGGGATTTCGAGTGGGACAGGGTGGTACAGCACCTTAGCCATAAGCAATGATGAATAACGGTGCTTACGCTTCGGACATTTGATTAATGATGCGTTTACCGACCTCGCCGCCCCCTCAAGCCGCCTCATCATCCATCTTGGCCTTCGTCTTGCGCCCGCGCACTCAATTTTCAACGCCATTTTTTGTGGATTTTGGTGGATATTTTCCTTTTCTTTTTACCAAAGTACACTATTTTGGGTGCGTTTTAGCGGTGCGCGGGCTTTTTGTTCTTTATGCCCGGACATAACTTTATTTTATTAGCACTACGTGGCAATCTGCTGGATTTGCGCGGCATTAAAAGACAATTTTTACAACTTACCAGCGATGCTTTTTCATACTTTTCCCTCATTTTCATCGCCAGGGTTTTCCCTTCGCCTTTATTTTTTTTTTTTTACTATTTTTCATGGTCTATGGCCTGACAGACATAATTTTTTGTGGTCCCATAAATTGCGGGTCTGTTTATTAAATTCTTTTGCGGTAAGTTCATTAGACAAAGAGCAAAAATTAATCAGCTTTTCACCCCGCCCAAATTCACTCCTCACGTCCGCTCATCAGCAGCATAAGAACAGAGTAGGTGGCCTTAGAAAGTTGCACCGCGGTGTTCATATTGAGGGGCATCATTTTCCCCACCGAAAGTCCGGGTGTGGATTGCGAATTGCGGAGCATGAAGAGCAGGACTCGCTGTTCGGCAAGTGGCAGATCGTACCAGCGACAGGTGTAGATGATGTCACTGCAGTCCTGATTCTGGGTGGAAAATAAATCAATTAAATGGGGATGCGATTTCCCAGGTACCCACCGAACTATCCACCACAGTTCCCAAGGCGCTGAACATTAAAAAAGAGGCGACCGTGAATGTTAGGTAAACCTTTCCCGAGGGCCAAACCCCAATAAGAATGCAGTAAAGGATGCACAGGTTGCTCATACAGCAGCTAATCATCTCCACAAAGATCACTAGGAAGAAAACACGCTCCGAGCACTCCAGAAGTCTGGGAAAAAATGTTTTTAAATCCAATATTATTTGCTTAAATGTACACTTAATTTTTTATTTCAATGCAATTATTAAAAATAATTTTATCACACAAAAATAATGGTATTCTATCCGTTTTAAATATGTTAATAATACAATGCTATAGAATGGACAATTTAATAATACATAAACATATTTAATAAAACAAAAAATACATACAAGATTAATGCTTTTAAATAATTAATGTCAATAAAAATAATTATTAATTTATAGTCACTGGGGCATAAATAAACCTAATGGAAATAAATCCCTGATAGCCTTTCTTTTCTCTGTTTGACATTGACAAAATTATAGTATCTTAAACTAAGATATTGATAGCCATTTTGTACTTCTTATATGGCTAAAAAACTTATTTACCTTAGATACTTCTTGTGCCAGTTAACGATGGCAACCATATCTTCATGGACATCTTCGCGTAAGATCCTCTGTCCATTTAAAGCCTCCAATTTGGCGTCTAGGTCCTCCAGCTTGCATTTAAGGATATTCTTTACCAGTGGCGCATTCGCAATGAAGACGAAAATGTACATGTCGGCAGCGAAGTTTCCGAAAAACCCACACACAATGCAAGTGGTGTGCAAGGCGGTGAGGATCCAGTAGCCCATAATCGTTTTAGGGTTGAGACCCGGAACCAGAAATTGCATAACCATCAGCTTTTCGGAATATAGAGCATAATATGCTGCCGGGAAAATAATACAGGCCAAATGGGCGCTGAGATGGACTGAGCCAAATCCTTTTACGCTGGTTATCAAGAATTTCAAGGCATCCTGGAGAGCTTTTTTATAATTTGGGCCTTGGTTTTCGTAGCTCTCATAGGTAAAATGTAGAAAATCCCACACTTCCAGCAAGTATCTATAGATTGTACATTTAATAACATTAAAATTATTAATATTTATAAAAAATGTATTGTTAAAGTTTCGAGCTAAGACCAAAATCATTAAAACCATTTGTTTCTATAAAAAAACAAGAGAGAACGCTATAGTCGGGTGCCCCGACTATCAGATACCCGTTACTCAGGTAAAGGGAGTGCGAGGGAGATGGAGATAGAAACTTTGATCACGCATAACTTCTTAACGAATGGTCCGATTTGAAAAAATTCTTCTACATTTCGATAGGTATTGATAAACACAATAAAACTGCATTTTTACTTTTCCGAAATATTTAAATTTTTAAAATCGTATATAAGCGATTGTGGGCGTTAAAGGGGGCGTGGCACCTTTTTGAAACAAACTTGCGCTGCGTAGGAACTCCTAAAATCTACATGCAAAATGCCAATCTTCTAGCTTTTATAGTTTCCGAGATCTCAGCGTTCATACGGACAGACAGACGGACAGACGGACAGACGGACAGACGGACAGACAGACGGACAGACGGACATGGCTAGATCGACTCGGCTAGTGATCCTGATCAAGAATATATATACTTTATAGGGTCGGAAACACTTCCTTCTAGCTGTTACATACTTTTGCACGAATACAATATACCCTTTTACTCTACGAGTAACGGGTATAATAAAAATAAAGAAAAAACTTTTTGAACTATTTAAAAATTACTGTTTTACATTTATTAAACTTGGACTATGTGATTTGTCCTACGAACGATAGACCTATCGTTTGTTTTTAATATGATAATATATTTATAATATTTCATTTTATTTTGTTTTAATTTTTGTTTGTATTTATTTTACTTGCGGTACATTAGAACGCAGAAGAGCTTGGCGCTCCCTTGGATCGCTGCTCCTCCCTGGCAGGCGGATTGCACAAGGACCAGCCAATCGCCGTCGATGACCACGCCCACATACACCGTGTATCCTGTGCAGAGCAGGAACATGCTGCACACGCAGATCACATTGTAGGTCCACCAGGACATCTTGAAGTCCGGATCGGTGATCTCCGCTCCCACAAACCTTGCACAAAAGCTAATCGCATTGGTTATGGACTGAAATTTCTTGAAAACGCTTTCCTCTGCATTGGTATCGTTTTTAACGACTTGGGTTATCATTCTCTGACTTTTTGAATTCACATAAATCGGTTTGATTTCTAATAACTAAGTGTCTGGTTTTTGACTCGTCCGCGGACCTTTTATAGGTGACAAATAATTGTCAACTTAATTGGCCTGGAAATGACGTTCGCTTCATTAAATCCTTTGCTTTCACACTTATTTGTAATATTTAAATTGTTCCAGGAAAGTTGTCAATCAAGTGTCAAACAAATAAAATATTAATTCAATATGGTTCTGTCCTTTGCTTTATCGATTCTTTTGCTTCCAAGCTTAATTTTCATATTTAAAATGTCATAAGATAATTGACAACCAAGTGTCAACAAAATAGCATTTTAATACCCCTAAATTAAATAAAAGTGAATATGTTTCTGAGTATTTATTTTTCATTATTGTTTTATATAAATGTGTACTTGCATGTTTACTATTTGAATAGTTCTGTTCTAATAAATTAACATGCTTTTGTGGTACAATACTCTGTCATGTATATTTCTCATTAAAGCAAATTCCTTGTTAATCCTTTCCCAAGTAGTTCATTAGCATCATACTGAAACTATAAATTCCTTTGGTCAACTTGAGAGCTGTGTTCATTGACAATGGTGCCATATCGGCTGCGGTGAGGCAAACCTCCTTTTGAGCCTTGGCAATCATTAGGATAATTAGCTTCTCCTCCTTCACGGGCAACTCATACCACAGACAATCCGTGTAGATTACCGTCAGAAAGTCCTCGTTCTGAAATGCATTTATAAATTTCATATTCTCTAAAAATAACCGATTATCCTACGGAATTCTCCACCAAAGTGCCAAGACCGCAGAAGGTGTAGAGAACTATAGCGGCGAATAAAAGGTAGAGAGGAGCTGCGGGCCATGATTTTATAAATATGCAAGATATGGTGCACAACAGACTGACACAAGTGGTTGAAAGCTGCACAAACAACACGATGCTATAGATCCTTTTGGTAGTTTGCAAAATACTGAAAAACAGAAAAACTTAAAAGAAAACTTAGAAAAATGTATTTTTAATCTTACCTTGAATAAAGCTGATGCCAGGTAAGTAGATCACAGAGCATTGCTCTTACCTTTGGGTACTGATTTCCTTGGACAATCACCTCGTTTAAATCCTTGAGCTTCAAACTGAATATGTCCTTTATCAAAGGGACATGGGTGACGAATAGGAAAAGGTACATATCCCCACCGTAATTACCGAAGCCACCGAAAGTAATTAAAGCCACATGAACTGCGGTGAGCACCAGGTGACCTCCATCGGTGTTATGATTAAGAATAGGCATCAAGAATTGCATAACCAAAACCTTTTTATGCAAAACCAGCAAGTAGAAAATCGGAAAGCTTATGATCAGACCCAAAAGAATAATGTAGACGAACATAAAGCCGATGATTAGTTGCCAGGTTGTTCGAATTCTTCGTTCCAAGCATTTGGCATATTCACCACCTTTCGCACCATATTCCCTAGGAAGCCGAAAATGGTAAAAGTATAAATAAAATATAAATACAAAAAATTGTTTTAAAACAAACTACAATTATAAAATTGGAAATGTCAAATATAAAAATACTTGGCTTACAGATACTCCCTTTAAAACAAAAAAAGAATACATTTTTCCAAGTTTTACCATACCAAAAAAAAATTCAAAACTGAAATATATTCCTTTCCTACCGGTAGATATCGTCGAAAGTATTCTGAAGTTCTCTCATTTGAGCGGCGCTGTTGGCGGTGACCAGGAGCTTGGTAAGTCCTTGGATCGCCGATCCCACCATCGCCAATGCCTGAAGGATCACAGTGAGGTCTCCATTGATGACCACGCCCACGTAAATGGTGTAACCGGTGCAGGCGAAGAAAAAGCCAATCGCTCCAATCACAGTGTAGGTGAGCCACCACATCCGGAAATTGGGATCAGCCACGTCATTTCCGCAGAATCCCACGCAAAAACGGATTACACGAATCACTTTTCGGTAGCGCTCCACAGGCTCTATTTTTGCCATGTCCGCTGCCAGTTGAAAGCGATCTTGTAGGAAATGTGTTTTCCAACAGCAGGAAAACCTCGCTTTTATACTCTTGCTTTTCAGACAGTAAATGTCAAAATATTGACGATTTAATTAAGGCATTTAGCTAAACAATCAATTCTGGGTAATTAAAAGATGGGAGGGGTACAGAGCGGTGTTTACATAGTGCTTTTAAGGATATACCTAAGGTAATATAAATATTTTATAATTTTAATGACCCAGAAACATTATCACCACCATTTAAAAAAATCTTTAAGCTCTTTTTTGTTATTAAAAATATATATTTATTATTTATTTAATTGAACAAGTCCCTTGTTCCTATTAAACTTAAACTTATTTGCTAGTTTGCAAAATGTGATAAAGTTAGTGTGATAAAGTAATCGCTAAAAAATAAAATTAGTTTAATCAAATTTTTCTTCGGGTATCTCCTTAGCGACTTATCCCAAAATGTATCCAACTTTATCCAGTCCACCATGAATCCAGCACCATCTCCCAGCCAACCAACTTTATGCATGAGCACATCTAACACCCCGACTAGAAAAACACAATATAAGGAGAAAATCTCCAAGCAATTGATTTAATATAAAATTTTTTAATAAAATTTGCTGCCGGAAAAAAAGTGAGCTTCGAATGGAAAACGAGGATAACGAGAGCACTGGAGCCAGCACAAAATTATATCTATTTGCTGAGCGCACGAGTCCTGACGTGGAAATTTCGGAACAGGAAGTGAAAGTGGGGGCAAATGCTAAGCGCCGGGCCTAAGCTTTGGGCCAACAACTAATAAAGGCTATCAACAACAGTTCAAACAGCAGCAGCATCGCAAACAACAACAATAACAACAACAACAAGGACGACAGGACAATGGGCACAAATCAGCAAAACAGGATGCGGAGGCCAACGTCGCCAGCGCATACGCACTCAAGTGAATATTTTCTCATTTTCTTGCATTTAAGTTGAGTTCGCTTTGAAGTTTTGACATTTCATAAAGCAGCAGCGAAACAAATTTCGTTCTTCCTCATTTCGTTTTTATTTTATTTATATATATTTTTTTTCGTTTATTCTATATTTTTTTTCGATCGAAAATCCGGGCAAACAAAAGTAAAAGCGAACGCTCGGCGCACGCAGGAAAAACGAAAAAAATATTCCTTGTTTAGTCACCCCTGCGAGCGTGGAAGGTGTGGCCTGCCAAAAAAAAACGACCCTCACAGGCCTACCCCCTGCAAAAACAAAAAAAAGCGAAAGTACCACACCCCCACGCACTACCTCACCATCTCGGCGTATACTTAATATGGAGAAAGGCCAAGACAACGGCGACTTAAAGTCGCCAAGGAAACATTAAAGACGCTGTCAGGCAGCTCAGTTGGCCCACAAAATTACTTGCTCGTTAGTTGGGAGGTACCAGGTATTCGAACTCCCCTCTCCTATACTTTCTTTCTCCCTCTCTCTCACTCTATGTGTCTCCCTCTCTCACTTACTCGTTCAACCCTCGAAGGAAAAAAATAAAAGGTGGGCTGCCTCACGCTAATTTCCAGCCGAACACAAAAACTTCTTCCAGTGGAAAGTGCGTAGCATTTCGCGGCCACCGCACACCAGTGGGCGCCACTGCATACACTGTGATTTCTGAAATAAAGGGGGTAGATTTTTAAAGATAATTATGTGGGCATACCTTAGGGTATATTTAAATTTAACGAAACATTAAACTATTTTGGTTAGAAATAAGTAAAACAAATGTTGAATAAAAGACATTACAATAAAATAATAAATAAAAATGCCCACCATTAAACTGATTCTTAATTTAATAGACCATGTTAATACGGGTACAATATTGATTGGCTGTCTTTAAAAACAAAACATCAATTGTTTCCCTATATTTTGTTCAATATTTATAATTAAATTGTTAAAATTTTATATTTTTGTTTCCTTTAATTACATTTTTTATTATTCACTTTATCGAAATGTACACACTAATTTTTCTTCAATGTCTGCCATTTCTTTATACCATTTAATCGCCCCACAACTTGGCGCCTTGTTTGTCTCTAATTATATTTTAATTTGCGCAATCTGCCTGTTATTATTTCTGTGCACGGCAATTGCCTCCAAGTGTTTGCACTTCCCGGCGAACATTTTAATTGCAATTATGCCGGGACAGTCCTCCAAGGAGCGTTCGTCCTTGCCGCAGGGCGTTCTGTTTGGCACGTAGCACCCGGCCGCCCCCTTCAATGGACACTAATTATTCCGACCGGAGTCGAGCCGAGAAATTCGTGTCAAATCAGAAAGATTTCGGACCGCCCTTTTTGGGTAATTACATCTGGGGAATGGAAGGAAATTGAGCGAGTGCACAAATTTGGAATGTTAAACAGCCGCCGGACTTGGGGTCAGCTTAAAGAGTGTCCCCCAGGATCGCAAGGGGATTCCCCCCCTCCGTGATCCTTTCGGGCAGCCAAACAATCGGGACTGAGCAACCGAATATTCTACATTTCCAATTTACTGGCAACAACGAAAACAAGTCACGTACGGGCCAGCTCATTTCCTGTGCCATTTTGGGCCCGACAAAAGGTGTCAAACGGATGCAGACAACGTGCCGCGTATGTCGAATGTCCTGAGTCCTGCGAAGGACTCGCCTCACCTCAGAAGATCCTTCTGCTGCTGCTGCTCGTGGCTTGTAATCAAAGGAAACCCGCGCCCCAAATTCACCGAACTTTAAACGTTTCTTAATTGTTAAACTGCCGCTGGGCAGCTCCCCAATCGCAATGTTTTCTGGGGGGTTTGGACATCCTGAAGCACTGAAGCCGATGGTCCACAATTAAGCCGAAGAAAAAACCAAGGAAAGACAAAAACAACAAGAGAAAAAGGAAAAAACGAAAAGCTGCACTAGGAAAAATGTATTTCTTAATTTCGGCATATAATACAAGTACGTTTTCTTTAATCAAAAAAAAAGGTTTAATTTAGGAATTTTGAATATGCTTTTGAAAAGTGTGCTTACAGCGTTTGAATAAAATACTTTTTAAGCTGAATAACCATATTTCAGGTTTTGACACTATATTATTTTAAGGATTTACAGGTTCTGAAATAAATACTTTATAAAGCTGAATATCATAATTATTTTTTAAAAAATTCTGTTGACTTACCAAAAGCTTTGTCGAAATAGTCATTCGATTCTTTTAAAATTCTTCAAATGTTTTCACTTTAGCAATCTTTTTGGTTGGAACAATATCTACCATTGTAAATTTTTAAATATGTTTTGTATATTTTATATATACTGAATTTTAACTATTTACTTATAAAACAAAACCTTTGGTTTTGATAGTTGATAATTCAGAGCTTCAAGTAATTATTAAATAATTTTTGTTTTTTAAAAAGACACCTGTTTTTCAATTATTCTTGTTTAAATTTGGTTTCTTTTTCCTAACTCTCCCTTAGAATTTTCCAAGGAACTCAATTTTGAGTGTGAAAAATGCTGCCAGCGACTGAGCGTCATGTTAATTAATTTGCCAGGACATCCGCAGTTGGGCACTGGTCGGTGGGCGGTGGGAACGGGGGCGTGGCAGCTTTAGAGGCCGGCTGCAGACCGCGTGTTTATTTTATGCCGTCGCGCTTAAGTGGTAAGCCCCATTAACAACTGCCTGTCGTTTGGCGGGGAAATAATGGCGTTAGATCATCATCGTCGCCTTGGCCAGAAACACAGAACACAAAACAGAACCAGAGTCTGAGCCAGAGCCAGAAAAACAGTTGGGAGACGGGAACAGGACACTGGAGTCCTGCACAGACGGCTGTGCGTCATTTGAGCGCTGAAAGCTTTCAGCGTAAATTGTTGGAAATTAAGAAATGCTCGCCCCAGCCACCCACATTTGTGTTTTCCTTGCGCTTCCTGCTCATATTTCATGGGTTCTGTTCTCTGTTGTTTTATGGCAGCCATTTGCCGCTGCTCCTGCCTGCTCCTTTTTTGCCCCGGCCAGTGCTTCCATTGTTAATGTCCTGGCAACCGCAAATGGCGCCACCACCCATGTCCTGGCAGCGGTGTTTTTCTTTAATTTAGTCGAAAAAGACGGCTGCCCAGTGGCTTCCTTGTGGGCCGCTTACAATAATTAGATGTAACGGATATTGTAATTGGTGTTAAATTGCGTCAGAGGCCGTGTTAATGTTTGTCATGCCTGTGGTTTCCTGGCAGCCGGAGACATTTTCCTTTTTCTTTTATTTTCTTGTTTTTTTTCATTCGACCAACAGCTTATTTTGTGGGTGGGCTTTATTTGTTTTCCATGGCTGACTGCTTGTTTTATGGTTTATTTAACGACTGCCTTCCTTCGAGGCACTTTACCCGGCAATGTCTGCGAGGGAACTAAGTTTCTTAACAGCTTCTACCTGGTCTGTGTCCTAAGTTCTGAGTCCTGGGAATCCTTTTTGCCTCAATTAGCATGACAATCGACACGGACAAGTTCAGGGGCGAACAATGCGAGACAGGAAAGGTACAAGAACCAGTTTCCTGGTGGCAACATGACAGGATATGATTGAATTGAATATATATGCGCATACCTTAAAGATTTAAATATGAGAAACAGCTTGGGCTGCTTAGAAATAACAGGACCTCAAAAGAGCAATCTCAGCATCATCGCTTCGCGTGTGAAACTATTTTCTAACTACAGTAAGTCATATAAATCTTTATTTCCTAAGAACCAAAAGGTTTAACCTTTATTGTGCACTTTATTTGAATATAAATTATTGATTATCATAAAAATTATACGGGTAATTCGAACTAATCAGAACTTCAAAGTATCTCCCTTTTTCGTTGTTTATTACCAAAATTAAAAATAAAACGTTTGAGCAAGTGGTTCTTAAATATTCTATAAATGTACCATATTTCACTTTACGCTTATTTATTAATAGGTTTAATAAGAGTTTTAAAAATACAAAAATCTACTTTAATAGTAGGAAATTTACCCCATCAACCGTCTACGGTTTGTTGTAAAATTCAATTTACAGCCGCACCCCAAGGAGCTAAGTTTTCTGCTCCAGTGGAAGGCGAGAAAATTCCGGGCATAAATCACACAAGATAATTTGCATAAGTTGGCAGGCCAAAGCGAAATCAGCAGCTAAAAATGTTTATGGTCTTCTCGCTTGCCACGCCCCCTTTTTTATTTTTGCAGACCCCGCCCTTTTAGGAAAATTCCCTAATCAAATTAGCAACAGTTAACCGGAAGTGCGAAAATCCGCAAGCAGTTGTGCTGCATTGTTTGTTGTGTGTTTATTTTTGGCTTTGTTGCAGTTTGGGATTTGTGTGGTGCATTTATTTTGATTTGATTGTTGCCCTCACAGCGGGTTTTTCGCACTCGCACATTTGCATTTTTGGATAATTTTTGCATTTTGCATTTTGCATTTCGCATTCTGGCATTCGGGTATTCTGGGATTTGCATTTGAATGTTCGCGTGCGTTGCATGAATCATTCATGTTCAAGTTTCTGCTGCGGCTGGTGATGATTCAAGTATCGATTTGCATTGATTTGCATTTCAATTGCAGTTTTTCGACACTTTACAATGGATTATGCTGCAGTGTGATTTATTTATGGCCAGCATTACATATCAAGTGATTTGGCAATTGTTGTTTCGCCCATAATGAGGCTTTGTTTGCCATTGTTCGCATCTAACTGTGGCCCTTGATTATTGACACACATATCCATCCATGGATGTCTAGATTTTTAGTCATTTTGATCGGCCTTTAAGCAGTTAAAGCGTTTTCCCCGAGCGCCATAAATCATGACGGAAATTACAAAACAATATGCAGCTACATTTTCTGCTCCTGCTGCGGGTTGTCCTGTCGCCTGGTTTTTGTATATTCATTTTTTACTCCCGTCTTCTTTTATTTTTGTGCCCTGCAAAGTGAGTTGCCGGGCCCGACATATTGCCCGAACTACAGAAGAATTCCAAACGCATCCGCGGGCTTGGTTCGCCAGCATACTCGCACAATTCCACTAACAAGTGAGCTGTGGAAAAAAGTAAACCAAGATACAGGTTCATCTGTGGGAATCGAATGCAAAATGCCCTTGAAGATCATAAAAAATAATAAAATGTTAAAAATAGCTAGTACCTTTAACTTAATATTTAAAAAGGGAGCACAAGATATTTGATTATTTTTTCTTACTTTATTGAAGGGTAAGAGATTACTTCTTATAATCGAGAAATTTCCTTGTGATTTGAATATTAAATAAAAAGTAATACTCATATTTGTGTAGGAAAGAATAAAGATTAATATTTACTTATAAATAAAATTTAAACAAAATTATGTTAATAATTCGCTATTCAGATTGCTTACATTTGAACGCTTAATAAATTTATTTCTGAAAATTATATATTATTGCCGACTCTATAATATACAATTTTTTGTCTTAAAATCTTGAATATTTAAATACAGAACGGTACTAAATTAGTTTATTTTCTTTATATTCTAATATTTGTGCTAAACTTTATACACAAAATCATAACCTCCTTTTAGAGGGTATTACCGAATAAAAGAGATTCCCATAAACGGACAGTAGCATGGGAAGCCTCGCCGCAGCAGCAAATCCGTTGAATATTGGGTATGCAAAATTAATTTTTTTCTACCTACGGACCAGTCCTTCAGCCCCTCCACCACCCCTCTCCTTTCGAGGCCACCCTGGATTCTAGCGCCCTCATGTGATGTGATGCTGTGCCAGCATTTTGTTTCAGATCAGCGGTCGTCGTCGCGTCATGTCGGTGAAAAAATTGTGAAAAAATGGAAAAATCAGGAAAGAAAAAGTATTCGAAAACATAAAATCAACCGCAAATGTTGAGCTGGCAATGCCATGCAGTCCTTTTTGTATTGCAAAATTTAAGTGTGTGCACACTCTGTCAAAAAAAAGTTATTAAAATATATAAAAACGGGATTTTTCGGTATTAATAGTAACGTTAAACGCTTCTGTTTTTATTCAACAAACACATTGTATTACCTTTGACTACTATTTGGGTTTGAATGGCTTTTAATTAAAAATACTATGTTGTTATAAAAATAAACAATCTTATGGGCTGTATTTATATCTATTAAAAATGCAGTCACACGATTCGAAGCTGTCAAATTGAAAACTTAAAAAGGGCCAGAAAAATTTTCACTTAGTGCTGAAAAGCAGATAAAATTTGTTCAAATATTAAGTCGGAACTAAAACCATGAATAAGAATCAGAAGAAAAATAAAGTGAGTAGAGGGATGTTACTTTTGACTTTTTCTAAAGAAAAATGCATTATTAGAACCCGAATTCGGGTCAAAAACAAGATATAGTCGACGGAAATGATGGCTTTGATTTAGAAAGGGAACTAAAAGCTATATTCGGTGACACACACACTGAAGTCACAGAGGAAGATGCATTCGACATCCAGGGAGCTCTTAAAGCGCTCAATGAAAATGTGGACACCATTTCCATTTCGGATTCCGATGATTCCAGAGATGAGATTCGTAAGGAATTCATGAAAATTTCGGATGAACCGAAAGCCAATCAATCTAAGCAGACGAAGATGAACAGATGGTATTTGAAAGAATTTGAGGAGCACATGGGTCTCGAGATTGGAGAATCCGATGGTGAAGATGGTCCAGATGATAGTAAAAGCGAAAAATCCACTACATCGGAATCAGATAATGTCAGCGATTGGGATGATTCCAACTCAGATGGTAAGTTTTTAATAAATAAATAAGAAAAACTTAACATGATTACTTTTAGGCTCACCCACGGGATGGCTGACAAACCTAACTGATCTTAGTAAATTTACATTGGATAAAAGGTTTAAGACAAATTTATAATATTTAAAGAATCAATTAAATTTAAGGTTTTTTAATCTAGTTCTTTTGGCTCTGAGGATTGTAAGCAAAAAGACGAAGAAGAATGTGCTGCACTGCCTGTTTTTAGTGGTCCTATGCCATCGATGCCCATATATGATGAAGAAACCAGTCAATTTGAAATGGTACAGACTCCAGCATTACCTGAAATAATTCAGGAAAAAATGTAAGTTTGTGATTATAATTAAATTTCCCTTTCTTATGTATATAAACCTCAGTGAAATGGAAAAGACAAATGAAATGGGCAGCAAAATCGAAAAAGCCATTTTTGAACCTGTGAGCGAGGAAGACAATCTGTCTGATAGTGATATTAGCTCGACTTTTAGCTTCAGTAGCGAACAAAACTTAACTGAAGTCGATGAAGACAACGAGGATATTATCAAAGACTTAGATATCGAATCAGGCAAGGAAAAATTTACTTACTGGGAGGAAATGTCCGTGCGTCCCGTTGACAAAGGTGAAATTCCCCAAGAAGAACTCATGGCCATTTTAAAGGAAGAGGAAAACCAGAAGAATCCCGAAAAAGGTAAAGATTCACAGGAGCATCGAAGTGATTCCGAGGGGGAAGAACCCACCGTAGATCAGGCAGTGCCACATGATGGTTCAGATTTTTTCGAAGATAGTACCCTATTTCCGGAGGACAGAGAAAACTTTAGTGTGTTGGTCATTAAAGAGGATTCGGTGTTTGTGGAATACGAACTGGCTGTCAAGCAGCTGGCCAAACTAGTTCATTTGGCTCCCAGTCATTGCAAATACGAGATATTCCTATTGATATACCCCTTGATGGCCTTGACCTATCTTCAAATGATGGCCAGTGATAAAACGCAGAGGGCAAGATTGTTTCTGGTTCGAAATCAGGATCACCTGGATGATTCGTATGTATCGAGAATGATGAAACTTAGGGACATTTGCAAACCAGAAGAGGTTCCAAACAAGGCCCGTAAATTGCTGGCTGGTCATGAGAAACTAGAGATTCAAATGTCGGAGGAAGCCTATCGTCAGTTTCTATATTACACAGAGGAATGGCCCAGAGGTCAGCAGGAAAAGTTGCTGGCCCATTTTCACATTCAAAGTTATGGTGCAGAGGAAAAGCCACAGCAGCGTTTGGCATTGGGACAACCTCTTTTGGAACCCATTTACTGGGCTGCCCCGGAACCTTTGCATAAGAAGGAATTCACCGCTCGTCCTTTTCTGCAAAAACGTCGCCGCAGAAAGAACGAACCACAGGCTCTCAAGAATCTTCACATTCCGCCGGCCGATAGACTGTATAATCCAAATCCGAAGAGGATGGATTTGTTGCACAGAAAGAATGATGAACAGCATCGAATGCGATTGGATCGGGAGAACCTGCCCTCAACTTATCTATATACAGCTACTCCCTGCGATGAGGTGGTGATTTGTGCCTCCTTTTCGGAGAGCATCAGCATGTTGGCTTTGGGAACTGCATCCTCCAAAGTACACATCTTTTCCCTGAAACCCTCGAAGTTGGTTCAACTGAAATCAGCCAATTGGCTAAAGGTTCTCGACACCGGAATGGCAGGGATTGACAAGGGAATGCTGGATCCCACCAAGAAGTACTCCAGACGCACTCTTCACGGACACCAGGGACCAGTTTACGGGTGCTCCTTCAATCCAGAGGATCGCTTTTTGCTCAGTTGTTCGGAGGACTTTAGCGTTCGCATGTGGTGCCTTTTATCCTGGAGTTGTGTGGTTATATTCCCAGGACATTTGGCTCCCGTTTGCTTTGTGGTGTTTGCACCAACTGGTTATTATTTTGCCACCGCCTCGGATGATTGTACGGCCAGAGTTTGGGTGCAGGATAACAGGAAGTCCGCTCGAATCCTGCAAGGACATTTGGCTGAGCTGGGGGTGTGCATATTCCACCCAAACCGTCATTACTTGGCCACGGGCTCGGCGGATAGTACAGTAAGGATGTGGGATCTAGTCAAGGGAGTCCAGGTGCGTCTTTTCAGTGGCCACAAAAGCAGGATAACCGCCTTGACCTACTCCATCTGTGGTCGTTACTTGGTTTCTGGCGGAGACGACCATCTCATCATGATTTGGGACACTCCCAATGAGATTTTAATCCGATTTTTTGACCATCACAAGGCAGCTATCAACACCATGGAGATCGCCTTGGATAATAATCTATTGGTGGTGGGCGGACAGGATTGTCAAATGACCATTTGGGACTTGGAAAAGGTGCTAAAGGACTATTTGAACAAGGCTAAAACTTCGAAAAAGAAAAATCAGGCGGAGGCAAATGAAGCAAGTGCAAAAGATTTGCTCATTAGCGCATATCGCAGCAAAGAGGCACCTTTTTATATGATCCGCTTCAGTCGTCGGAATCTTCTTCTGGCCTTCTGTGTTTCTCCCAGGAAACAAACAAATAATGTCCTGCATGTCAAAACTAATCATACCAATCAGGAGCAAGATGAACAACTTGGCGGTTGGCTGGATTTTCTGGACGGGATGAAGTGGAAGGCTTGCTGTGATCTCAAGGAGAATTTACACTTGGATACCTCACAGGTGGAGAAGGAAACTAAAAAGAAACAAAAATAATCTTAAAGGTGTTATCTAATTCCGGTTTAGTCACTATAAAATGAGGTAAATGAATAACTTTATCAGGTTTTAGACCTTCAAATAAACTATGTTTTATCATTTATATCATTTTATGCACTATTATAAAATAAAACTGTTATCATTTTTTTTTTTGACAATACAAACTGTTGTTTTTCTTTTCAATAATACTTATTCCACGAATTTATTTTTCTGTGCAGGGTAGTTACACGTTATTTATGAAACAATATTGGGGATAAACATTTCGCTTGACAAAAATACAAAATTTTCGTAAACAGAGACAAACCCCCAGAGCGAAGGAGAATTGTGCAGTAACAATTTGACAGTTTGAAAAAAAATAAAACTGGTCATGCCACGTGTTCAACTGCCCACGACTCACTCCTCCATAAAGAAATATCCTCTTCCCCTGCAGGAGTTTACTCCTTGGTCCTCACATTTACAAAAGGCGTGCAAAATTTATAGAGGCACGCATTAAAAAATCCGCCAGGCACGCTCGACTAACTGCGTCCAACGCCCACGGCGCTGGCAGGAGAGTTTCGAATTGGTCCCGGCCGACCGCAGTCCGGAGTCCTTTCCTCGTCCTTCGTCCTGTCGCGGATCCACAAAAAAAAACCCTCCCCCTCCCTAAAAAAATAAGCGACAGGACAATATATTTACGCAACTTCTTATGCTGCTGCTACCGGTGGTTGTTGTTCTTGCTCGGCTTCGAAAACAGAACTCAAGTGCTGTCGTTGTCCTTGCTGCTCCTGTACCACCCCCTCCCCCTCGAATACAACCCCCCACCCCGACGCCGCTGCAGCATCTTGCGTCTCGTTTGTAGCAGTTATCTTGTGGGTCCTGCTGCGCGAAATGAAATTGTTTACTCCACTGTCATATGCACGTGAGCCAAGAGATGTAGCTGGCACATCCTTGGATACGCAGAAAAAAATTATAAAGAACGTACAAAAAATATAGAAAAACCTTAAAATAATCAACAATTTTTAATTTTTTTTTTCATGGAAATAACAAAATCACAAGTTTATTAAAAACATTTTAAATGCTTATAAACGTATCACACTGTTTTTTATTTTGTTTATATTTTATTTATTATTCACAAATTACTTGTATTTTAAAACACCGGAAAAACGCTTCAAATATGTACATATTGATTTGTTATTATAATGTTAACCTCCGGCTAAGACATTGTTTATACTATCCTAGAAAATCATATCATTTAATGTTTACAAAATAATTACAATATTTTGTCTTACCTTGAAGTGGATGTTATTTATTTTATAAAAAGAAGTTCCTATAAATATTATTAAAAAATGGTTGTTAGTTTAAATGCTTTAATAACATTTTGAATAATTTGTTCTCCGTGTATCCTTGCGGCATCGTCCTGGTGGGCTATCAAAAAATGAGAATTCTTTCGCTTCGTTTTCTTTTCCTTTGCTTTTTTGGGGGAAAATTCAACGTAATAATTCTTTTCCGCTTGGATAAGGCGCGGGGGGGTTGGGGGGTGAGTGAAGTACAGTCCGTTTCTGCCCCGTAATTGTGCGCAATTTCGCCTGGACATGTTTTCTGTTCACTGTTCCTTCGACTCCGTCTTTATCTCCTGCCACATCTTTGGCCCAGCGCCATTTTCTTTCTGGGCCCACCCCTCCACACATGCCACACTCACATTCGCACACATGTTCAATGTCCTCCAAGGATCAACCTCCCTCAGACGCCTTCTTTTATTTGCCCATTATTCATGGGGCTTATTAAGGGACTACGAAAAAATAAACAGCACAGTCCATTTAACCGATTTTTACGTTCTGGAGAGAAGAGAAAAGCCCCGAGCCGAGCGAAGCTGCGCATAAAATAACTATTTATAATCATAACAATGTCCTGGCTGGTTTCGAATCAATCTCAGCCTGATGATGAACAAACAAGGACAAAATATGGAGACTTCAGAGAAAAAATACGTGAAAACATGGTATTTGATCAAATGATAAAAATATTAAAATTTGACAAAAGAAAAAATTAGTTTACTAATTTAAAATTGGCTCGAAAAAATATGATAATATAAATTATTATGTAAAAAGCAACAAGTATTCAGAAAAATAAATTTTAAAATTATGAGTAATTATTTTTAGAATTATGAGTATTTAATATAAAACTGAAACCAGCACTGTCATAAAATAATTTCCCAACCGTATGTTTTTATATAGTTGGTTTTATATATTATGTTAATAAAAGTCTAATGAACATTTTTTTATATGAACAGAAGTTTTATGAATATTATGCTGCAGATGCTAAAAATTGATGAAATTGCAGCCATATATAATAATTTTATGAATTGCTGCATCCTTTTATGAAGAACTATAAGTTGGAGAGCGAAAGCTACCCTCGTTGCACTCATTAAACTTAAACCGCGTATTAGCAGGCCGTAAATACAGGATGTGTGTGCGTTTGGAGCCGGTACTTAAATATGATAAATGCCGCGTATTGTATTACAATTGGATTTAGGGCAGCGCCAAAGACAATAAATTAAAGGCGGACACACACCGATAATTGCGGCCACGCCGAGTGTGTGTGTGTGTGTGTAAGTATGTGCCGCCAAAAAGCAGCGGCGAATAAAAAAAAAACGAAGTGCCACAAACCTATAATTACGGAAGAAGACCCTCAATGGACTGGCCAGCCGAAGTTAGCCAAATTTATACAAATTCCAACTCCAGTAGTAGTTCGCCGTCTTCGATTGGGGAGTGCTGCCAGTGGAACGTGTTTCCAGTGCAATTACCCCACGGACCGCTCTCCGCATTAATATGGCCAACGTGGCCGCGCAATTATGTCGTCCAATTAATATCATCGCAGCGGGAGTTCAGAGCCGGGTCCAAATGGATGGGCCCGGAGGAGGGGAAGGGGGCCAAGGAGGGGCGGCAGGGACTGCATTTTATGCATAAGCTATTTATGAAATTTATTGTCTTAAATGGCCAACGGTAGTCGCCGGACGAATCTTAATGTCCAGCCACTTGACGGCAGACCACCCGTGGCAATACTTGCACTCCACAAAAAGTATCCTTAAAAGTTCCTCCATAAATTAATGAGCCCTCTTAAATATTTAAAGCTGTAATATATATATATTTTTAAATAAATGAATCCTTAGAAAATGTCAAATATAGCGGACTTCTTAGCTAATATTTTAGAAACTTATTTACTAAAAGCTTTATCTCTTAACATGTTTTTAATAATTTATTTTTGATGGGCCTTTGAATACCTATTTGTACAATCATTTTTAAAAAGCTTTTATATATGAAAATAAAATTGTTCAAAATAAACCATGCATATCCTGCAGTATACATCAATTTTCATAAAAAAAATATATAAAAATAAGAGATTTGAAAAGAGCAGTATTTTATAGCTATTGAAAATTAATATAAGATCAATTTATAAAATTTGACATAGTATCAATAAATAATTAAGTAAAATAGTAAAATTATTCCAACTTTTTTAAAGAAAACTTTGCTATTAGTTAGTGAATCAGACAATTTTATAAAAAACCTATTTTTGTTGTAGTGTATGCCCCTCCATATATGCAAAAGGCTCCTTTTGTAGCACGAGCAGCCCAATCGATATTGATTCGGTGCAAGACTACTTGGGATCCAAACATCCATCATGCTGTCAATATGGCAGTATGCAATTGCAGTTCGCTGGAGATCGAAATGCTGGCAAGGTGTCTGCATAATTACGGCCGGCAGAAACTGCGGGCCAAATGCGGCTAAATTTATTATAATTTCCACACTTTCGGGCTATGGCCAGATCACGTTTACATTGATAGACGTGGTCTGAAGACAAGGCAGCTGCGAACTCAAAAGGGCCTTTGGGCCAAGAGCTGGAAAAGGAGCTAAAGGAGAAAAGGACCTCGACCACGACATGTCCCGGCCATTTAATTAACAATAAAGTTGAAACCTTTATTACGCAAATGCGATGCGGGATTAAAGTTGCTCCGACTAGTTTTCGCCCGAATTGCTGGCAGGCGTTGTCGCAAATGTCCTGAACCTGCTCCTAGTTGCCCTTGTGAGTTTATTAAATTACGCACTCGGCTCGTTTCGCACACAATGAATCTGCAGCTGCAACAGCAACTGCAACTGCAAGTGCAACTGCGGCAGGAACTTCAACCGCAGATCGGGATCAGGATAAGCTAGGATATAGGCCTCGTCTGCCTTTTGCGGCTTTTGTGGCGGCCACTTATCGCACTGCAATGTCTCGGTTCGTTTCGCCTAATTGAATTTGCCAGTCAGTCAGTCGGTAAGTCCCATGTCCGAAGTGCATATTCACGTACTTCATCTTATTAACATGTTGCGGCGCACATTGTAATTCATATTTTTATATAAAACCTTTAAAAATGACCAGGCGAGTGAAGGGCCCCTCGGGTGTCAATGGCGACACGCTGATGGATTACAGGCAAATTACGCGGACCGCTGCTGATACATTTTGATGCACTTTTAATGAATTTAATGGAGCTGTGGATAAGCAGGCAAGAAGCCCTCTTCCAGATCCTTTCCGAAAATAAAGCGATGAAAGGATCGCGATCGCCTTTCACAACGAAAGCTGCTTAACAAGCGGTTGGGTCATCTCAATTTGGCTCACGAGTACGCACTTTGAATTTCAATTGCAGGATCTCGTTGGGGAAAAAAAGAGAAGGGCGATTGGCGATAATAAAACTATTACTAAGATAATTATATTGTCGATTTGCTCCCAATGATATCCAGTAACAAAAGACTGCAAAAAAATTTATTACATTTTGTATTCTGTTAATTCTCAACATCACAATATTGTCTTTTGCATTAGAATATCACAACTACTGATGTAATTATTCCATTAAATAAAAAAACCACCTTCGATAATTATAAAGAAACGAAACTCCACCTTCAAACACTTTATGAAGGCATAATTTGTTTTAATATCAATTAGAAATTCATGGCAGAAGATGATTAACTACAACTGCTATTTTCTTTTTAGACAGAAGAAGGTGCACCTCATTTTATTTTAAAATTCAATTTAGATTTCCGGGTGGCAAAGGTGGTTATTAAAAATGATAGATTTCTGCTTTTAGCCCGCTGTCAGG